CTTTGGGCTTATGATTATTAGCATTGCTAACCAATCAGTATATATGATTGAGCATGACATATGACACTCAATCTTGCATTTAATTGGTCGATTAAATAGTATATATTCATTGTGAATTATTTGTAATTAGTTCGGTGAAACAATTATATATTTGAATATACCATTCATCGGATCAGGCCTCTAACCAGGGTTTAAAATTGGCATGCACAGGATGCATATACTGTATGTAAGAGATTTTTTTAATATTACTCTAAATAAGTGTGCAAGTAAATTTTTTTAATAAAGCAAAAAATGTAGATGAATTTTAAACACTGCCAAAATTAGTCACATGATTTTGTGTAAAGGATTATTGGTCGAAAATGCTTATATAAATTTGTATGGTCTAACTTTTAATCTGTAAATATAATAATTAAATAATATAAAAATGCAATTATTAAATTTATTTCTATTATATATATATAAATTATTTTTATAAAAATAATATTTAAAATAAATACAAATATACAATACTACAGTATATAATATAAAATATTTATTAATAATAAAAATATTAATTCCAAGACAAATTTAAGAAAGTTTTATTCTCGTTTTTTTTGTATAATATCACTTTCACCACCAAAATAACACACAAATAATGATATAATACTTCCAATTACATGTCCAATAAATCCTCCAATTACACAAGGAATTGGCCACATCTAAAAACAAAAATACGTTGAATTTTTATTATAAAAGAGAAGAATATTAATAATTAAGCTAACCTGCCAAGGTCTGTCCCAGTCTAGAGGAATAACAATAGCACCTAACCAAGCACCAATTACTGTAGATACTGTAGTATAATAAATTAACTTTTCAGGAATGCTTTCTGGACTTTTTATAAAAACCACAAAATTACAACATATTAATGGATAATGATAAAACAATTCTTTCAAAAAATATTATACGAAAAATAGGTATACCTTCCATCAGAAAATACTCGTGCCCAAATAGGTCCATGATTTTTTAAAAGCACAAGCAGGAGGATAGATTGCCAAAATTGATATGTAAAGTGCAAATAACCAAGTGTGTAGAACGTCACTAACAGTTTTAAAGCAAACATTATAAATGAGAAATTGTTAGAGAGAAAAGAAAAAACCATAACAATATATATTTATTTATCTAATTACTCAATTGCGGGTGCACCAAAGACAACAGCTATTAAATGAAACATGAATGCTCCAAATAAAGTTATCCATAACGCATGAGCGAAATTCTATTATTTCGAGATAATCTATTAGTAATTCTTATCTGTCATAATGCAAAAAGGATATAATAACACATACCTCGCCTTTATTTTCTATCAAATTCTTAAACATAGCTTTTATGGATTTATTTGTTTCAATCCCATCTTCTTGTAAATATAATAACCATCTAGATAATTCAGTTATAAACTGCACGAAAAATAAGGTAATTGTTGTGATATTCAAACATTTTACAGGATCGTCCAAAAGATTTGAAGAAGGAATATATAAAAGAGAAAGTGTCGATAAGATAAGTTGTGTAATCGTTATCAGTGTATGAGAAATTGGATGAAATTTTGTAATCGTATTAGAGTTATGAAGTGGAGGTACAATTTCATTAAAAGAGGTACTCGAGGATGTTTTATCGCGTTGTGACATCGTTTAGTTGAACGAACGAGGCCGGCCAAAAATTGTCATTAAATATCGATATCCGGAATGAGGCTTTTGTGATTTGCTATTTATAAATTCATTTTTGACAATTATTGCGCCACATTTTTATTACAAAATAGGCAAGTTCATTCAATTGCGGTGATCGGAAAGAAATAAACTTTATATGGAATAAATCGACATATTTTTAAAAAAATAAAGACGGGTGTCCAAGTAACTTCGATAACTGACTTATCCTAACTACTGACCTAGAATTTCTAATTACATATAACTTACGTATAAAGTTTTTCGTTATTTCTTTTTTTGGTTTGTGTTACAGGCGCAAATAAGTGAAACCAAGAAATGAACTCATGCTTCCAATAAAGTATACGATCATTTTACGCTGAAAAATTTATCCGCATTGTAGATAAAAACGGGATGTGAAATTTGTCTGTTCAGTTTAGCAATCTTTTCCAAAAATTAAAAATGCCTCCAATACTAAGCTCAATCATTAGAGACGAAATTAAACCCATTGATGGTGCTTCAGATTCTCAATTATCCGCTATCGATGGAATAGCTAAAGAATTTGATTTAACTGTCGAAAAACTTTCAGAAATTGTAAACCATTTTTGTAATGAAATGGATAAAGGGCTCGAAAAAAGTGGAATGACTGTTGCAATGATTCCTAGTTTTGGTATATTTTTTGATTGAAAAGAATTTGATGATAATCATGTGAATTTGTTTAAAACAATTGTTACAATTAATTCATTCAAATTAACATTAGTGACTGGTATCCCAACTGGTAATGAAGTTGGCACTTTCCTCGCTTTAGATCTTGGAGGCACAAATCTTCGTATTTGCGAAATTGCTTTTGAAGGAAAGGGAGTTATAAATGTAAAACAACAAAAGCATAAAGTCACTGAAAACCTGAAAACTGGACCTGCAAATCAATTATTTGATTTCATAGCTGATTGTATTGATAAATTCTTGTCTGAACTTGTAACAGTACAATTCGAAAATGATCAATCAGAAAATGACAAAAAATTTAAAATGGGCTTCACTTTTTCGTTTCCTGTTGAACAAACAGCCATCAATAAAGGGACTTTAATAAAATGGACGAAAGGATTTACATGTCCAGATGCTGAAAATAAAGATGTGGTGTTTATGCTTCAAGAAGCATTGAAACGCAAAGAAGTTCCTGTTGTAGTTGCAGCTTTAGTCAATGACACTGTAGGTACCCTTTTATCTCATTCTTACAAAGACCCCGATACTCTTATTGGAATTATTTATGGTACTGGTACTAATGGAGCATACTTTGAGGATATTCCCAAAATCAAAAAATTAAATAAATATTCGAATGATTCAGAAAAAATGATTATTAACATAGAATGGGGTGCTTTTGATAGTGAGGTAATATAATTATTATTTCCAATTTAACAAAGATATAATTACATTTCTCATGTTAAATGTATATTTATTTTTTTAGAAAAAAGTTCTTCCACTCACAATGTTCGACAATAAACTAGATCGTGAATCGAATAACCCACATTATCAAATATTCGAAAAAATGATATCTGGAATGTATCTTGGAGAGATAACGCGAAATATCTTACTACATCTTATTGACCGCATGCTACTTTTCGATGGATACTCTTCAAAAGAGCTCAATAGGCATTATTCTTTCGAGACAGAATACATGTCTACTATCGAAGCTGATGAAAGTCATGCTTTGGATGATACCAAAAAAGTATTAGAAGAGTTATTAAACATTCCATCCACCACACTTACCGATCGTCAAATTGTTAAGAGAGTTTGTCAGATTGTTGCTTTACGTGCTGCAAGATTATCTTCTGCAACATTGGCCGCTATTATCACTCATTGTGGCCGAGTTGAAAGTGGGAGCAGTGTTGGGATTGATGGTTCCTTATTTGAATTTTATCCTCATTTTAGTGCGCGCATTAAAACGGCTTTGCAAGAATTGTTTGGAACGAACGCTGATAAAATTAAAATTAGTTTGGCTCGTGATGGATCAGGAGTTGGCGCTGGTAAATATCTTCTTTTTTTTTAACGCCAATTTTTTTTTCCTTTTTTATTACTGACATTATATTTTTTTCCTAACTTTAAGCACTGGCAGCTATGTTGACTACTAAGAAATAGGTATAAGCGATGAAACTTTGATTTAACGGACATGTTTGAGCAATTAAAGAAATTTTTTCAATTTATTATAAATATTTATTATGATTATACTGTATATGTTTCATTATCGACATGTACTATGTATTATCGCACATGCTCGTAGATAATTATAGTAAACGCAAAATTGATTTTATGTCCGTTTATAGGCTGGGAAATGTCTCATGACTTTCCACATGGAAATTTCCACCATCAATGTTACTAATCGAGAATATCGACTTCTACACGATTTCCTTTTTATATTCTCGAAAAAAAAATAAAAAATAAACATCAATGCTGCTTAAAAATCCAAAAATCCAAGATTTAATGTTAGTATTCCAGTGATTAGTGATAGGGAAACCCGTAATTTATTTACCAAAAGTTTAAGTGCGTATCATTCAAGATTTACAACATTCGGATTATTATTATAAATTCTCCCGGATGCTATTAATGATAAACAAATAAACCAAATAAATATATAATCTTTTTCTCTTTTTTTTTCCTTTTTTTTTTTTTCTTTTTTTTTTCTTTTTTTTTTTTATAAAAATACAAATGAATGACATAAATGAAATTAATAGAATTTCAAAATTATATTGAATGTGAGAAAAAAAAAGAATGAGCAATAATGATTGCCTTATACCCCTAAAGGTATGAAAACGTCTAGCATTTAAAATGAAATTATAAAGAAAGTTATCGTACACTATGATGTACATGTATTTATGAAGGATTTAATTTTGAGAGGACGAAGAATAAATGGATCGTATAGAATAGTTGGTCAACAACAATTATTATTACCACCATTTACATTGATTGGCAGCGAGCCTCCTCCCGACTGTAAATGACTCCCAACTTTGATGCCTGTCCCCTATATGAACAAATATCTAATGTGAATAATTATTCAATAACGGTAGAAAATAAATATTGCCAACAAACCTCATTTGTGACATCGAAGACACCTTGCTTGATCTTTTCATATATGTCCTTGGCAGTATCGACGTATGCCTAATAAATAATAAATTATATTTAATAGGTAATTATATATATGAATAATTTTAAAAGAAAATAAATCATATTTATACTGTCTTACATCTTCAACATTTTCTGCAGTCTTTGCCGAAGTTTCCATGAAAAATAAGCCATGCTGCCGCGCAAACGTCTCACCCTCTGAATAAGAGACAACGCGTTTAGACTCAAGGTCACTTTTGTTTCCAATGAGCATTATGGTCGTGTCAGAATTTGAGTGTTGTCGAGCATCTTCGAGCCAGATGAGAAGATGTTCGAAAGTTTCACGCCTTAAAAAATAAAATGTTAAATATGATGAATGAAAATTATTTACCACAAAATACGTTCATAACTCTGGCGATCTCATACCTAGTTATATCATAAACTATAGAATTTTTTTGAGTTAACATTTGAAATATGTATAGTGAGACAATGAGGGTTGAGGCAGTCAATTGTAATACCTAATAAAGCTCCAGCTGCACCTCGATAATAACTTCTCGTTATACTCCTAAAAGATTCTTGGCCAGCCTAGTTATATTATAGTATTATTATCAGAGAATTCAATGTTTATCATTACGACCAAGGTAGTTTACCGTATCCCAAATTTGGAGTTTAATTTTCTTTCCTTCGACCTATAAACATCATGACACATTAACACAGTACATAGATGTATAATAATTTAAATATATTTATTATTTGCGAAAAGTCTTACTTCAACAAAACGTGCCCCAAATTCTACCCTATGAATGTTAAATACGAATTAATATAATATTTTTGCAAATTTTCAAAAATAATTTTTTTAATAAAATTTACCCAATCGTCAAGTCATGAGCTGGTTGGAAACGTTTATCCGTGAATTGTAAAAGTAGGCATGACTAAGCCACAATTGAAAAATTAGTTCATAACTGCTTGATCGTTAAATTTTCATGCCATTTTGAGCTGAATCTTGATTGTGGCCTCTTATGGATCCGTCAAAAACGGCCTGACAATACGACTAAGTACTTTCCCTTCCTATTTTATAAGAATGTAGCCTATCATACCTTTCCGACACCTAGGCAAGATAATGTACATATATAAATATATAATAATTGATTTAAAGGATTAAATAAGTCTGATCTAAATTGAAACGTTTAATGTACCTGTGTCTCCAATGATGATATACTTTTTTTAATAAGTCGCAAGAAAATAAAAAGATGAACAGTAAAATAAAGTAAATAACAGAAAGCCGAGTGCAGGTTCTATACACGATGATGAATTAATCAGTACAAACCTTTATAATGTAATCGTAAGTAAAGTTCGACATTGTGTTGTTATGGAACCAATTTCTGGAATGAATGGGAAGGTCTGTTAAGCCGTAAAGCTGGACTGATTTACAGTAATTACGGTAATTGAATTGAAGGATTGGTAAGGTTGTTGAAAAAAAGGGTCAGTTGTGGACGCAAAGTGATAAAAATATGGTTTTATACTACAAAAACGAAAAATAGAGTTAAGCGTGGCTTCAGATTGCGTATGCACGCTTTCTGGAGAGGATAATATGTCACACGAATAAGGCAATGATGAGTTTCCCATTCCGTTATTTGCCGAATCTGATATATAAAGAACTTCTACTTACTTCTCACTCCGTTATTTGCCGAATCTGGGTATATAAAGAACTTCTACTTACTTCTCACTTACATTATTCACCATGTCCCAATGGTTGCCACCAGGTATGCTCGTTCGAAAAATTTATACTTTGATGCAAAGTTTGTAATAGTCAATCTGTAAGAGGGGAACTTTCTCTTCAAGGCAACTGTTTCCCTTTATTTTCTTTTCCCTTTTTTTTCTCTTTTTTAAATTTTCAGACTTTCTTCTGTCTTAAAATAATTTTGTATTCTCTTAAACTGGAATTTGAAACAAATTCATGACAAGAGTACTTTCAAGATGTGAACTTCAAGCTTTAACCTTGTTATATTCCAACTTTTCGAATACAATCCCTTAAACCTGAATTGTTTTTCGCAAGCAGGTCATTTTCCTCCACCACAGCCACCATACTCGACTTTTCAGGGGCCGCCACCTCCTGTTCCTTCCAATCAATATTTGCCTTCGTATCAAAGACCCTCTTTACCTCCGCCATCACAGGCACCCTCGTTAGATGATCTATCTTTAGCGTTTGACAATCTTGCAATGGCATTAAGATTGACAGCAGGACCGCAAGAAATTGATGATTTTCAAGTAACACTAGGGATGCTCATGCATGATTGCTCACAATCAAATATTCAGGTACTTTTATTTTATTTTATTTTATTTTATTTGTTTATTTATTTTGTAAAATGTATAATAAATTTCCCGTTAATATTACCTAACTATTAAAATATGTATAGCGAGGCAAAACTTGGATTTTTAACCATTGTTCTTCACCATCTCATTATGAAGTTTTATTAAGATTTATAATTGCTCTTTCAAGATCCCGGACGGTTTTCGAAGATAAATTACACTTGATATATTTGGTCAATGATGTACTATTCCATAGGTAAAAAAAAAAAAAACCCCCAAAATAAAAATGAAAAAAAATTGTAGGATTAATATAGAATTATGTATACTCTTATTACAGTGAGCGCCGTCAAGAACCTTGGATAAAAGAAGCATTACATCCAAATTTGCTTGCATTACTTCGTTCTGCTTTCCATTTTATAGATGCTAATGAAAAACAACAGGAAAAAGTTCTCAAAGTAACGTTTGTCTTTTAATTATAATAAATGCTTAGATCACTTTGTACTGAAATATGCTAACTAACTCCACAAATTAGATTATATCTATATGGGGTGATAAGCATTACTTTGATGATGCTAAAATTAATGCCTTGAAGTCTGGTGTTATGGTTCCTCCTCCACCCCCTGGTGGTCCACCATCGGTCACATTTCCCGGGATGGCACCTCCAGGACATCCCGCTTTTGGGCATATTCGCTATCAAAATCCTCAGAATGTTTCACCTTTTTATAATCAGGGTGCACCGCCTCCACCGACTATATTTCCTGGGGCTCATTCTCCGGCACAGTCGATTATTTCATCGAGCACACATTTGTCGCCACCGATCGCTCATGGTCATTTAAGACCTAACTCTGAGCCAGCACCACCAGGCATCCCTAATCAGTTTCCTTCCGGTCCTTCACCGCCGGATATGTCAATGCAAGGAATAGCACCAAGACCTACCGTTTCTGTTACACCACCAATACCTGCTGTGCCAGAAAAAAAATATTATGAATTACCAGCAGGATTAATGGTACCAGCTGTTTCGGTATGTAATTAGAGTATATTGATATTTTATTAAGTGTTTTATGCTTTCTTAATGCTTTACTTATTATCAGCTCTTTTAGCCTGAGGATCCGCCATATACACCAATTCATGCTACTTCTATTAGACTTCCGCCACATCGACTTCCACCAACACCAGAATTACTTGACGCAGTTGATAAATTTTATGAAGGATTGAAGTTGATAGAATTAACGATTGAAGAGGATGATGAGAACGCAGCTCCAGAAAATAATAATAATAATAATAATAATAATAATAATAATAGCAATAATGATAATAAGACTAATCTTGACAAAGATGGTTGGGAGACTGGATTTTTAGATGATTATTACAAAGATTTACAGATTCGCCGTGCTGCAGCTGCAGCAAGAGCAGCAGCTGGAAAATATTATCATCGTCCATCCTACCGGCGCAAGAGAGACGACCGTGGACGTCGTTGGTCAAGAGATAGAAGTTATTCAAGATCAAGGTCTCGTTCATGGTCTTCATCAAGGTCTTATTCAAGAAAAAGTAGAAGACGTTATAGTTATTCTGATTCATCAGGTAGTAGTCGTAGTCGCTCAAGAGGTCGCAAGCGTCATAGACGCAGCAGTAAAAGTCATACTCGCTCAAGATCAAGCTCTAGACATCGGTATAAGAGTCATAGCCGAACAAGACATGATTGGAGAAGAGCAAAGTCGGGAACACTAAGAACAAGAACTCGTTCGAGATCACGCTCTAGGAGCCCTTTGAGATCACGCTCATATTCGCGTTCCAGATCTAGGTCCAGAACTAGGTCAAAATCAGCGACAAGAACTAAACCTCGCTCTAAATCAAAAATCGTGACCGGTTCAAGATCAAAAACAAGAAGGAAGACTAGGTCGCGATCTTCAATACGGGAAAGATCTAGATCTAGATCGATATCGATATCTAGCTCTCGATCCAGGTCTACATCTAGGTCAAGATCAAGATCCTATGAACGAAGCCGAAGTAGAAGTTACAGCCGTGAACGAGTTAGACAAAAGTCAAGTGAATATGTCTCAACGTCACGCAAAAGTCATCAAAGTGGATCGTATTCTAAATCAAGATCGAGAACGCCTTCATTCAACGGAGGAGGTATAGGCTACGTTAAGGAACGTGACGAAGGCGCAAGGGCAGATAAAATGATAGCTGATCACAATGTTGGATTCCAAATGCTTAAAAAACTTGGTAAATCATCGATAAAATATTATTGTACAGCGATTTAAAATTGATTGAACTTATTAATTCAAATATGTTAACAGGTTGGGAAGGGGCAGGAACGGGTCTAGGTTCGTCAACATTAGGTATTACGGAGCCAATTAAAGGTGGTGAAGTCAGACTTGGCGAACAAAAATACTTAGGTGTAGGACATAACCAAGGTGATGAGGACGATATTTTCGATCAATATCGCAAGGCGAAAAGTTATACATATCAAAGAAGCGATGTCAATTCAAAAGATAAGAAACCAGCTGGATGCTTTAGATGCGGGAAGGTAAATTTAACTACTTTTTAGAACTAAAAACTTGTTATATTCGTAATATTTAATGCAATTTAAATATTTTTCTTATTTAGCCGGGTCATATTGCAAGAGAATGTCCAGATTAACAATTTAGGATATATTCAAGTGATTGTTTCAGTTATTTATATAAATGTACATACAATTCTTTTTGTATCGAATAAAAATTCTTGCTCAAATAGAAATAATATTTGATATGTTTGAATAGTGAATAGTTTTAAGCATGATGGAAGTTTGTTTGTGATTGGCCAATTAGAAAGAACTCTGATTGGCCAAAATTAAATGGATTTACCTCGTTATTACCATACTTAGATTCGTATCTCCGATACTTGACTCTTTAAAAGATATAATACTGTTGTCGTTCTATATTTTGGCATTATTATAAGCTATATACTGTATAATATTGTTTTAAGAACTATAATTCTATTAAAACTAAGTAAGATTAAAAAAAAATTGTAGTAAAATTTTTTTTAAAATTTGGCTTATATTAGATAACTACAGTATCAGTTGACCAGCATTAAATGATCGGCAATAATTGGCCTAAAAAACCCCTAACTTTACCGAAATTTTACCCTAACCCTAATCTAACTTAGGCCGGGTGTCATCTGACGCAAGAATCGATCTGAGGCGCACATCTGAAATCTGTGCCAGGTTTGTAAGCACAGATTTTAATTTACTTTATATTTGATATTTAGGTATACTCATATAACTAAAATTTCATGCTGAAAACTTTTGTTTAGAAGTCAAACTGGTTATCATAGTAAAATCTTGAGTTATTTACGATTTTTTTAGTAGTTTGACTTCTAAACAAAAGTTTTCTTTAGTTATATGTAGGGATGTGTTATATAAATTACAATTTTACATTACATGTAGAAATAATGTAATTGTCATTACTGGTGATATGGTAATAGTTGCAATTTGCCAATCACATCAAGTAATGAAATTAAAACAAATGCCAAAATTAATTATTATTAAGGTTAGTGTTAGAACAAAGTTAAGATTGAGTTAAACATAGTATATAGTAAATTTTTGCAAGAAATTTTTTAATTAGAATATTAAAGGTAGTTTTATAGATAAAATTTTAAGTTATTACGAATTTTTGAAAAATTTCATTGTTTTTTCACTTTTATGTTATACAAACATAGTACCTGATTCCATGACGTGATTGGCCAATGTAACTGTTACTGTGTCACCATCAGCGACAAATAAATTTACCCTTACATGTAATTTTATATAAGTTTCTAAAACCCAAATTTCATATAATTTTATATAAAGTACTGGATTTACAAAAAGTTTAGCCAACATTATTATATCATTTAATTTGAATGTATAATTCGAATTGTAACTCATAAATCGCCAAAATTTAATAAATGTCATATGTTCAAAATTACAATTATATTTACAGAATCTTATACAAAATTACATAAAATTATGCAAAATTTCAGTAATTTTACAACCCTAGTTATATGATAATGCTTTTTGATTTGGTAATCGATATAGCCTAGCACAGATTTCAGATATGCCAATTAACTTGTATATGATGCAAGCTGCAATCATTTTTAATATTATGTGAATTTTTAATATAACTCTTAATTCTATTCAAGTTATACAAGAAAAAGTTTGTATTGAAAAACTGGGCAATTTTTAAGAGGTGTCTAGAAATTGTTCAGCTTGTTCAGCTTCTCGAAATAGTATAGTAAATTTATTACTCTTAATTTTAAGCCAATCTATTTATTATTAAATAATTTAGCTGAAATTTTCTTTATATTGAAAGTAAATTCACTATTAAGAGGTTCACAACAAGATTGAAGAAAATCTCTTTGCCAAATTATTTGTTATAAAAGATTAACTTGTAAATAATGATTGAATTTAAGGGTAGAGTGTAACTATTTTCAAATTCATATACTGTAAAATAGATTGTAAATTAACTTTGTATAACTAATATCATAAGGTATTATATGATTTATATGTAAACAACACATAATTTGACCAATTATAATTAGCAATTCTTTGTATAACTAGGGAAAATATATAGTATCTAGAGAAATTTTTAGTTATATGTAAAGTTAATTTTTTTAAAAACAATATATATTGTACAACTTTATTATTATAAACAAACTATTTTAACTACATATTGTATAAATTTGATACAAATTGGTTAAGGTGTTAAAAAGTTTTATTAGAAGCGCTTTTTTGTTTACTATGTAAAAATTCAATATACCATGTAGATCGTATGAAAATTGATCTATATATATCCTACTCTTAATTAATTATAGCCCATTTCATTTATTCTGGTAGTTTAAAGCTAAAATTTAATATTGTCTATATATAAAAATTTTTAAATTTTAATAATTTATTTATAAAGATGTGGCAACTTAGTGTAGTGGTTTAGTCATCACCCTCTCCAAGTGGCAGATCTGGAGTTCGAATCCCACAGATGACGAATTTTGAAAATTAGGCTTGCGTTATGGTTAATAGTTATGATTATCAGTTGGATTTTAGATAAATCTGTAACTTCGGTCACACCATCTAGTAATGAGAGCAATGTGCAATAAAGCCGAAGAACCAGAATAATTGAAAACTCATTTGGGAAGTCCCAAGCTAAGGAATAGCGATGATCTACAACGGTACTATATGAGGGCTAAATTCGAACTGGGGCCTGAGATCGGAGAACTAAATGACTAGAACCAAATGACTAGGTCCTAATAGCAGAGGACACACTAGCCAAACCGCCAGGTTCTGTTGCACCGGAAAAAAAGAGCATATGCTCTGAAAGTATGCACCAAGAGGAGGGCATCCTTTAGGCACCTAAAGCCTAGGCAGACCAACCCTTCCGAGTTGCTAGCTGGAAGTAAGGAAGAGACCGATAAAAAATCTGAGTAAGAAGACGGTACCAAATGCAAGTATCGGAATTGTTGCGAACCTTAATAAGAGCAAGAAGTAGGTAATACAAGGGGTTCAATGGTTAGCCCTGACCCTGAGTGCATAGGTCAAGCTGTGGTGTAAAATTACTGAAGTTTGGGTGAAACAGATGAGTAGAACAAGTACTTCAGCAAAAAGGCAAGCACGGCTTTCCATTGATCCAGAGAAGAAGTTAGGGACCGAAGGGGAGGTAAATCAGTGACTAGACGGTTACATATGGGCACCTCTGAGCAGCCATGTGATGCTTTACGCAAGGATGGAGTGCAATGGTTTGGAAACTGCAATATCGCGGGAGGAGGAACCCAGAATATATATAGAAATGTATATAGACTAGACTGCTGTACTATCATGTAATGTACTTAACTATTCAGATGTAATAAAGTGGTTACCATTGAAACTAAAAAAAAAATAAATAAATAAAATAATTTATTTATAATTTTTTTATATCAAATAATATAGATTTTGGGCTATTTTTTGATATATTTTTTATCATTATTTTATAAACAATTTGTTAAGTAATAAATTTTTTAAAAATATTAATTTTTTAAAAGAAAATAAATTTTTTTTTAAAAAAAATTAGATTTTAAGCATTTTTACAAGCTATATGCAATATAACAAGTTTGTACTAAACAAGTGCATAGCTATGCATATCCTGAATATATAGTTGAAATTTTAGCTTAATTGGATTAATAGTTGTTAAAATATGAATTTTTAAAGTTTTTTAATCAAATTACTATATTATATAAATCATCACGAATTTTTTCAAGTAGATTTATAACGATATATAACGCTTAATCATTTTATATCGATTAAATTTAAACGCTAAACATCAATTAATTTGTTATTTAGCGATATATATCATAAATCGCTTATTATCGATAATGGGTAAGAAATCGATATAGATCAAAT